TATACATATATATATATATATATATATACATATATATATATATATATATACAGTAAGACCTCGTTAAGCGTTTTTATTTCAACCCAGGGATTCCCTGAAATTGTGCGCGGGGTGTAGTTGTGTTTCTTGTTTGGTGCAGATTTGTACGGAAGCATTTTTATCATTTGAAACATTTGATGGCATATCAATTTATATAATAAGGACAAATATAATATCAAATAGAAGGACAATTTATATAATATCAACAATAAGGACAATTCTTATTAAAGAAAAAATACTGTCATCAGCAAGTGCAACTACGTCAAGCTCTGCATCTAGAATTACCCGTCCTAGAAATAACATTATAGAGGAAGTGGAAAAACGACTGTCTATATGGATTGATCACAAAATTGAAAGCAATATGCCATTAAGCCAATCTATTATAATGAAAAAAGCTAGAAGAATTTTTAATTACATTCAGGTTGAGGCAAGTGACATAAGTGAAACTTTTGTTGCTAGTCGAGGATGGATTAATAGATTTAAACATCGAAATAATCTTCACAACATAAAGATTGCAGGAGAAGTAGCAAGTGGTGATACGAAAGCGGCGGCTGAATTCCCAGCGACATTAAAAACAATAATTGAACAAGGAAACTATCCTCCAGAATTGGTTTTTAATGTTGATGAAACAGGCTTGTTCTGGAAAAGAATGCCAATACGAACATTTCTATCCCGTGAAGAGAAACGAGCACCAGGATTTAAAGGCGCAAAAGATCGCTTAACACTTCTATTGGGTGGTAACGCAAGCAAAGATTTCAAATTAAAACCACTACTAGTTTACCACTCCAAAAACCCAAGAGCTATGAAAGGCATATCTAAATCATCTTTATCTGTCATTTGGGAGTCTAATAAAAATTTATGGATGACTATGAAAATTTTCCAGGATTGGTTCACTGAACATTTCTGCCCCTCTGTTAAACGTTATTGCAAAATTAAAAAACTTGAACAAAGAGCATTATTAATTGAAAATTCTCCAAGCCACCCAACAACAGACTTAACAACATGCATTCCAGTCGAAGTTGTTTTTTTACCGATTAACACAATTGCCTTAATCCAACCAATGGACCAAGGCGCTATATCCAATTTTAAGGCTTATTACTTGCGGCGAACATTAAAGCAGATGTTTCACAAAATAGACGGAGAAGAGAAGCACTCAATAAGAGAATTTTGGAAAAACTACAATATCATGAATGCTGTAGAAAATATAAACCTTTCTTGGAATGAAATAACAGAAAAATCTTTGAAAGAAGTATGGAAGAACATTTGGCCAGATTTAAGTAAGAGCGAAGATATTGGACACTCTCTCGATATGGATTAAATATTGGAATTAGCAAAACAAACCGGTTTAGATGAGGTAAATGTCGAAGACGTCGAAGATATCGTTCAAGAAACAACAGCTAGTCTTTCTAATGATGAGCTCAAGGAATGAACCGAGCAAGAAGAAAACAAAAATATTGATAGTAGTGATTTCGAAGAAGTGCAAAAAGAACTTTCGATGGTGTTTGTAAGAAGGAGTTTGACCATTATAACTGAAATTATGGACCAATTTGTTGAAAATGATTCAAATTTTGACAGGAGTTCAAAAGCAAGACGGAGTGTTATAGATGCTTTATCCACTTATGAACAACTTCTAACAGAACGCAAAAGGAAAACACAAACTACATTAGATGCATTCTTGACAAAAAAGCAGAAAATTGGAAACACAAAATAGACTGAATGATCTGAGTGACTTAGAATTTTATTTGTTTTTATAAGTACGTATATTCGTTTATATTGCTTTTATTTTTGTAAGAAATAAATGTTTGGTTTTATTTTTATTAAAAAAAACATAATTATTAAATTTAATACCTAACCAATTTTCTATCCATCTTCCCCTAACCCCATTATTTACATGTTAAGATAGCCTTGTTTAGCGCTGTTTCGCATTACGCTCTACTTTGATGGAACGTATCCCACGCCTTAAGTGGGGTCTTACTGTATATATATATATATTGTGAATTGTGGAGTAAGGGAAAAAAATTATAATTTAATGATTAAACATAACAAATGTAATAAAGAAGGAAAATAAGTATATAAGCGACATCAATAGCAGAGAGTTGTCTACACGCAGGGTTGTAGAACAAAGACTGACTACTAAAATTAGATAGTTAAAGAAAAGAATAAATCAATTTAACATTCTGGGACTTTCACCATTCAGACACTCTGGTCAGGGTTGGGTTTTTGACGTCAAAAAGTGGTTTTTGACATGACAAGGGTATAANTTAAACCATGGTTTAAACTGTCAAAAACTGTCACATGTCAAAAACCTGCCAACCCTGACTCTGGTACCATGGATTCCAGGACTTTTCCCTTGTAGGCAGTCTGGCATCGTTCAACAGGGAAGTAGATAGTTTTGAGGATGATGATAAATAACTACTACATATATATATTTTTTTTTATTTACTCAATAGATGCACATCAAGCAATCTAATACAGATATTTCTTAGATTTCCTTTGCAAAACAAGGAGATGGCTAAATCTGCATTTAAACAGAAACAAAACTATATTCTATAAACTGTAAAATTAAAATAAGAATCTTGGTTTTCTTCATTATTTGAAACCGCATTTTGCACATTATAAAATATATTAAATTAGAACAATGTTTAAAGCTATTAGGTCCCCAGATTCTTAAAAAAAAAAAAATTTTCTCCTATTAAAAACACTGAATTGGAATTTTTTGTCATTAAACATTTTGATTTACTAAATTTCCAAAAAAAAAGTAATAAATAGATAAATTTCAGTTTAGAAAAATTTAATTTTCCAACTTAACAATTCCTATACATGTTTAGAACATACGAAGCAAATTAAAAAATAAATAAATAAACCTGGTACTTTCCAGAAAAGGACAGATTAAAATTCTCCATTAAAGCAGACAAAACTATATTGTAACCAGGGTTAGAAATTAGAATAAAAACACCAATAGCACATGAATATTTTTTCTAATTGCATAATCGGTTTAGCTAGGTGAAACTTTAAAATTTTATTTTTAACCACAATATTTATCCTTTTTTCTGATGAATTACAGTAAAAAAAAATTTCAGGGTTCATTCTAGACCCTTAAAAATCATACGTGCTAAAAACTGTAAAGAGCTCTATATCTTCATAAAATTGGGCACCTATCACGAAAAAAAGCTTTGTATCGCACAAAAATTTGCACAGCTTTTAAGAAACTCAAAGTATACAAGTTCTTAATTTTATCTTTAAAAAGAAATAACTGATCTTAAAAATAATTTCTCCATTAAATTTTCACATTCTATAAATTGGTTTTAAGATGCGAGTGTGTAATTCTCAAAACTTCCACAAATGCCTCAAAAACCAAAAAGTAACTGTAATAACTGGCAAAAGCGATTGAAAATTAATGTGGATTTAAGATGTCATCATAAATCAATTGCATAAAAAAGCGATCACTAAAATAATGAATTCTAGCCATAACATCGTAGTAAAAATATCCGTGCCAAAATCGACCGAGAAAAAACAAATAGTCACAGAAAAATTTACCATAATTGACGATGATTTACGATAAAAATCGTTGCTAATTAAGCACAGTAAAAATAGTTCCTTAAATTTGAAACACAAGTCGTAATATCATATAAAAACTATTATAAGAAAAAACAAATGAAAATGGCCAAAAATGATCATACCCTATATGGATTTATTACTGAATCATTGCAAGTAGACTGTGTCAAAAATAAATAACTCAAATTTGTAATTCAAGTAATAACGTATTAAGCATGTTGTAATAATGAATAAAAAATATCGAATTTTAAAAATTTAAGTGGAAAAACCAGAAAAGAATAACAAACAGAAAACTGTTACAATGGAATAATGAAGAATCAAATGCGTCAAAAAGTGATACCTTAAACTTGAACGCCGTAAGAAGGAGTAAAAACATTGGAATTCGAAAATTCATTTTAAGACCAAAAAAGTATCATCCAACAATATAAAAATACAATAGAATCATCGCAAAACGAACATGTCAAAAAGGGAAAACAAATTCAATTGTCATAACATCATATTAAAAACATCTGAATTTGAAAAAATATGTGAAAAGGACCAAAAAATTATAAATACTTTCCGAAAAAACTATTATCAAATGACGCTAAATTACAATGGAATAGTCATGCATAGAAAGCTTTCAAAAAGATTAAATTCGAATGTTGTAATTTCCAGTCCGGACACTCGCTGATATTTGCAGCGTGTGAGGTCGTACTCTTAACTTTCGTCTGCTATATATTGAATAAGGAAAGGTATTTTTAACCCTTTCGCGCCGACTGTCACATATACATGCCAACAAGAAACGCTCTCACTTCCCGGCCAACACACCCGTGTGTCGGAGCGTTTTCTTGCTCACTCCAGGCCGTCACTCATTTGTGCCAGCGTTTCAGAACGTTTTAAAAAATAAAATTTCGTCCGTAAGATGGTATTGTATGTCCATATGGTTTCAGATACATGTAGATTTGACCTTCTACTCAAGATGAGAGTACATTCACGTGGTTTTTAGGGGGAAGGAATGTTTTATGACGACTCTTTAAATTCGCACATGGTATCTGTTTACAGTAAGCAGGGGAGGTTTTTTCTCCGCTACTTTCGATTTTGGATTTAGTTTTTAGTGGATAGTTAGATCTTGTAGATCCCTGTTTTAAAATTTTTCATACGAAAAAAGAGCTTTAAGTCATATTTAGTTTTCAGATATGTAATGTTAAATGTTATTAAATGACAAGTACATAATGAAAATAAAATGTGTAAAATATATACAGTAGAGCGCCGATTATCCGAACCCTTATTATCCGAAGGTCCAATTATCCGAACTATGTCTGAATTCGTTTTTTTCTTTTTTTTTTAAAGTTTAGAATACTTTTTAAGATCTTGACAATTTTTCTAAATTAAGAAGAATAAATAATATCCCTTACATCCGAAGACCATATTTAATTTACAAACTTTTTAGCAGTTTTCTTAGAGCAGCCATACATACATGTATGGTGATACAGTTATAACTACCTACCCCTTTACAACTGAAAATTATCTTCCAAGAATGCGAGCTTCATTTTGATAGTCTACAATGGTTGGAATGCAGAAGGAGTTTATGAATAGATAAGTGCTGAAGTTTTATAATTGGGAAATGGGTAGTTGTCACTTATGCTTAATGATTAGTGATTACAGTGCTTGGAATAATAAATCTTGGAATAAAATTCTTAACAAAAAAACTGAAGTTTCTGAACCAGTAGATCTTTCGGATGAAAATGATGAAATTGTTGATTTTGAATGAAAATCGGAACTCCACAGACGAAGATGAAGAAGTAAGTGATCAAGTTCAAGATAGAAGCATGCGATTCATTAGATATTGCAATGAATTGGCTAGAACGTCAAAATGATGTTGATCCAGTTCAGTTTTTTTATTTAAAAAGAATAAGGGATATATGAGATGGAAAGTTAGTGCAGAAATAATAATCATGTACACTAGGTTTTAAACAGTTTTCCAATTATCCGAACTTTTCATTATCCGAATCATGTTCGGTCCCGAGCAGTTCGGATAATCGGCGCTCTACTGTATTTAAACAAGAAATAACTTAAGTAAATAAAGTATCCATAGAAATATATATAAAGCATATGTCATTTAAATACTCTACAGAACAATATTAAACAATGCGTTGGTATTTCGGTAATTTCATGGAATTAGGCTTAACAGAAAAAAACCCTCCGGCCCTGGAGAGACACACGTGTGACTGCCGGCCTCAGCGGAAAGTGCGCTTTCACGCTTCCCCTCGCGAAAGGGTTAAAGGCGTCAAAAATGACGACTGGGAGTTATTTTCTAGGTGTCAAATTAAAATCTTTAGATGCAAATTATGAGATATGACCACTTATTTGAATCCTGACCCTAGCTTAAGATTTCGTGCAAGTAACATTCCTAGTTAAATACACAGTAACATACAACATTATATAATAATTTACCAATAATAAAGGAGCCTTTCTCTTTGACATGATAGCAGCTTTTTCGTATTGATCAATAAGAAGAACCAAGAAAGGTAACCACCTACAAATAGAAAAATACAAAATTTATTATATATATCAATATACATATACCTGAAGAAATATATTTATATTCAAAATTTGTTACAGATTTCGTCTTATAAAAAATGGCTGATTGCCTACATTTCACGAAAACATGCAGATAGAAGAAATTCTGATTAAAAGATATAACCTCTTGCTCAAGAGAATATTAGCTTTATTTTCCATGCATTTGGTTTCTGCAGATATAGAATGTTTACAGAAAGAGTTCATAGAATGTTCAAATTGCAGAAAATATTTATAAACAGTAACAGTTTAAGAAATATTTCATAAGAGCAAAAAAAAAAACTTTAGTACCTTGAAATTAATTAAATAGTGACTATTAATATATGGCTACAAACCCAGAAGAAGATACTTTATTGGCACTTTTAGAAATTAATGTTGCCAAAAAATAAAAGCAATTGAGTCACTATGATATCTATACCAGACGTGCCAACCTAGCAAAATTAACATTCAGGAGTTTCCCTAACAAGAATTCAGGAGATTTCAGGAGGGGTAAAAAAAGGTGCATGGTATGCAACATTTGGCACTTCTAAGGAATTTTAAGTAAAAAATTTATTAAATATAAGAATGCAAGAAATTTTACACACTAATAGAGCAATAATTGTTTAAAAATATTAAATGGAAATAAAATAATTAAACACAGATTTAGCAACACAAAACTATATTAGGTAGATACTCTTTAAATAAATACCATTTCCTTAATAAAACATTATTCAAAAACCCGACACTGTAATAAAAATACACAAAAACTTTTAAAAAATAAACAAATTGAATAAGTATTTTATTTTAAAAAACCAATTCAATACTAATGTCTGTACAATAAAGAACCAATTATCCGGGATGCTCGGGACCATCGCTATCCCGGATGTCTTAATTTCCCGGTTTCCTGGATCGACAAAAAAGTGTCGTTAATCGATGTTTTATCAAACCCAAATTACAAGGAAAAAATGTAAACACATTTTAAAGTAAGAGAAAAAAGAAAAGCACTCCTAAATCTAAAAAGGAAAAAAATTGTAGAAAAATAAAATTTAAAAGAATAAAAAAATTTGCAAGTTTAGACAAGAAAAACAAGTTTAAAAAATAATTACGATTCCTAAATCAACTAATAAACAAAACCAATGATTAAATAACGCAATATATTTCATGGGGGGGGGGGAAAATAAAAGGAAAACCTATTAATCTAAATAAAAACAACACTTGAAAATTATCGAACCGAAACGATAGTTAAAAAACGGCACTAGCATAAATATTAAAACCTAGAACAAGGCAAGATCAACGGACTTTAAAAAAAAAAAAAAAAAAAAATGAAAAAATTTGGTAATACAAATAATTTTATTGAGTGCAAAATTTATCATGAAAAAGAAAAAAAAAACGTAGTGGAATCAGAAAAACGAAACTGCAATCTGCTTCATAAAATAATTGTATGCTTAAATTAATAAACAATTCTCCTTTTTTTTTTTTTTATAAAAACGCGATTTTTAATTAAAGCAGGTGTGATTCCACATCAAGAAAAACTTGCGAATGATACCGCACTTCCAAAGAATCAGAATTTATTCAAAAGAAAAACATTTTATTTTTATTAATCGATGTCAAATAGATAAATATATTTTTCTCTTTCATCTTCTGTTCACTGATATGCATGTGCAATGCATTTTCCCCACCCCCTCGTAAATCAAACTAGCAAACGAAATCATCATGCCACTCCTTTGAGTTTAACGACCTAAAAGAGAATAAAGATCTAAAATCTTCAAGGTCGCGGAAGAAATGACGTTTCTCTGGGTAAACGGGGAAAAAAATTCTTCCCTTCCTCACATTTTCCTCTACTCAACTTCAAGGATTAGTCCAGTTTCCGCTTTTTTTTTTATATCGTTTTAGTTCAAAATGGCGGGAGAACCGAGCAAATTTTTTTTCCGGATTATCTGGATACCAGATAAATGGTTCTCTACTGTATGCATGAAAAAAAGAGTTGCAGACTTAGCTCTCCGCAATTAAGTCTTGCTAAAGTCATTGGTACATGATTTGTTGAAATTGATCCATACTTCCGTTTCGACTTAAGACATCCTTGAAATTTTTTTTTTTTAAATATACGAAGACTAAACGAATAATTGATATCACGTTGCTAGTTTACGAGCTTGTTGCCAACCGTGGAAAAATACGCATTAAAAACTATAAAAACAGCAAGATACAATATCAATTCCAACTATCGAGAGTACGAGTTTCCCCACTCCTGAACGGACGTCACTCGATAACGACATGTGACGTCATTGCATTCAACTCCACACGAAAGAAGAGGAAGATTTCACCCGCCCCCAGTGTAAGGGGGCGGGTGAAATAGGAGTGTTTTTAGAGGTAACGTTGAAGAGGGGGGAAAATAAAGCATGTTCAGCTACGCTTCAGGCAGATGGTAGTTTGATAAGAGGGGATGGAATTCAAGCTGAAAGAAAAACTTACCTTCGCACTCGCGGAAAAATTAGGTAATTTTGAGTTTGGCCGTCGATCGCAGTAAAATTCGGGAGTTTTTCAAATCAATTCCGGAGGGCGGGAGAATAACTCAAAATTCGGGAGACTCCCGCAAAATGCGGGAGAGTTGGCACGTCTGCTATACCTTTTAAATAATTTAGCTTAAAAAGTAAATTCTTAAGAGATAGTTTATTAATTTTTAATTGTAATGATTTAACTTTGAAAGCGATTAATGATTAAAAATTAATTTAAATTTCTGAAATAGAAATTAGCAGGCATGAAAGTGGACGAAAATAAAAAAAAGCTGAACTTTTATAATGCAGTCACAGGGCGGAGGGGGGAGTGTTCTATATAATACTGTAATATCAATGAGATATACAAAAGCAACTTTTAACTCTGCAGGGTGATTTTTATTTAATATTTAAAGCGGCAGAAGCATTTAGACAGTGAAATTTAAATTTTTCTTAAATATTTTAAAATTTTTACCACTACTATAGTAAAGAAAATTAAGCAATTATAGAAAGTCGCAACTTAATTATCATTTTAAATTAATTACCGGTCGATTATTTTGAATTAAAACAGTTGCTAACTTTCACCTCAATGTCTTCTGATAGATTCTTACTAACAATTTTAGTCACTTTGAATGTTTTAAGTAACGAAACTTGAATTTAATTTTTTAGTAGCATCGTAGTACGCACTTTATGTTCGCCTTTCAAATTAACTACCATCATTAAAATACATTCCTCTTATTCATAGCTGTCAACTTATTAAAAACAAAAATAGGAACATAAAGCCAGATAAGCCAATGAGGGGTAATTATGACACAAAACATAAAAAATCAAAATATCCATATATTTATAAACCATACACATTTCAAATTTAACAATTTTTTTGAGCTAACAGTTTCAAGGAAATTACTTTTACTAATGAAGAATATCACATCTTTATAGTAACTGATTCAAGAAAAAACTAATTTCTTTCACGAATCGCGACATTGGATTTCAAAATCACGTGAATATGAATTATGAATAACGATATTGGATTTTAAAATCGCGTGAATATGAATCGCGATGTTGCATTTTAAAATGGCATGAATGTGAATCGCGATATTCGATTTTAAAATTGCATGAATATGAATTGCAATATTGTATTTTAAAATCATGTGAATATGAATTGAGATATTGGATATTAAAATCGTGTGAATATGAATAGCAATGCTGGATTTCAAACTGCGTGAGTGTGAGTCGTTATATTACATTTTAAAATCATGTGAATATGAATAGCGATATTGGATTTTAAAATCGAGTAAGAATGTGATGTTGGATTTTAAAATACCGTGAATATGAATCACGGTATTAGATTTTAAAAACACAAAAATACAAATGGCGATATTGAATTTTTAAATAGCATAAATAAGAGTCACGATGCATAATTTTCAGATCATGTGAATACGAATCGCAATGAGTAGTTTTTAAATCGCGTTTAAATACGGAAATCGATGTTTGACATTACAACCGGGTGATAACGAGTCGCAATATTGGATTTTAAAAAAGCGTGAATACGAATCGCGACGTTGGATTTTAAACTCGAGGGAATATGAATGTCGATAATTGGTTTTAAAAACGCTTAAATACAAATCGCGATATTGGATTTTTAAATTATGGGAATTGTCAGTAAGTTTTTTAAATCGCGCAAAAACGAATCGCGACACGTAACTTTTAAATCAGTTAAATACGAAAATCAATGATTGATATTAAAATAGCCTGAAAAAGAATCGCGCTTTTGAGCAGATTCCAGCGCAGTTACTAATATTTAAAATTCCAAAAATCAGCCAAACAAAAGAAATCAAATATCGGCAGTCGAAACGAAATTGCTTAGAACTCCTTTCCGCTCTACAGCAGAAGTCGCGGTTGTCAAGGCAACAGCATACCTGCTGAAGCTCCACCCATTTTCTTCTGAAGACCATTCTCTCAGGAGGTTACTGTAGGGGGGGGAAAGTTCGTTCCAAGTCTGACTGTCGTTTGGGCGGCTTGGGTTTCTGTAATTGAAACCCCCCCCCCAAAATTTAAGTTTTTAGAACATGGTCGGAAATTTTAAAAATTGGGAGAAAAAAGCGGATTTCTGCTTTTTCGCAGAAGTCTTTCATCCCTGAATTAAAGAGCTGGGAATGCGCAAAATGGCATAAGAATTCTAATAAACGACAGCTTAACTTCATATACATAACTGATATGGCTTTTCAAACTATAAAAAAATGGCATTATTAAATAGCAACCACAAACAATTTCTAAACAGATAACTAGAGTAGTTGACTATACACTGCATAAACCATCCTATAAAAAATTTCAAGAGTGAAAAAATTCATCTTAAAAATAACTTTATACGTTTAAAGGGGTAAATTTGTTATACAATTCTTTATTATTATTATTATTATTATTACGCAGAAAGAAAACTAAAGGAAATTAAAAAATAAAAATTTTTTGGTTGAAATTTTACTTTACATTCTAGGGGGTAAATTTAATTAAATCACAATTCATAACATTCTAGCCTGTTTTAATGAATCCCTTATAAAAAAAGGGAGCAGCGAAAAACTAAGTGGTTATACATGTAAAGAAAAAACAATTTTTTTCATACAATAGCATTTGATTTGCTCAAGATTTCATGATATAGAACACAAACTTATTTCTTAGAGATAAATTAAGTTTTATTTAGCAAGCAAAATTATAAAATCAAAAACTATTAAATCATTTCTTAATAAATAATCCTAATCTCCAATTTCTAACAACCAAATATAATTTTGCGCATTTTAAGTTTCATTCACAAAATGCAATCCTTCCTCCATTGAAACAGGGTTCCACAGCTGCCAACATTGGACTTTTAAGAAAAGGAAGATTTCAAGTCTACTCACGATCCTCGAGAGAAAGTCATTAATGTAAAGAAACTGGTCAATTAAAAGAATAACTCAAATAACTTGTATATTTCATTAAACAGGGTAAATAAATTTTAAACAACTAAACAAACATTTAATAATATTTGAAGTAAATTACAATCAATGAAATAAAAAAACTTTGTTATAATAAGAGATAGATAGAATTACAGATAAGCAAAAAATTGATAGAAATTAATTTAACATATAATTATTTTTTCAACGATTGATAAGTGCATGCTTTTGCCTTTTTTAAAAATTGGTCATCAAATTAAATTTCATAACATTTCTGATCTTTACAAAAATAATCTGCTTGAATAATTTTTTCAAGCATATCATCATTAAGTGATGACCTAAATTGAGTTCTGGTCTTCTTCACTTGGCTGAAAACACATTCACATTCAGCGTTTGAATGAGTGAGAGATAGCACAGACAACATAAATTTGGATAGTGTTTTATATTTTTGTTGACCAGTCGCACTTTTTATTTCTCCTATTCTTGCCCAGTACTTGTCCATTTTCTCCCCCTCAACTGATTCGATTAATTTTTTTTCAATTTGAAGTTCACAAAACTCCAGCTGCAGTTTGTTAATTATCAAATGTTTTTCCCCATCAGCTACTTGTAACATAATAGGATATATTTCTATGAAAAATTTTGTGCTAGTGAATGAAACATTTTGAATGTTTCTAATATCAGCTATGGCTGTATGAAACAAAATTTCACTTTGAAGGGGAAATTTTAAACGCATGTAGTCACATATTGTACAGAAATATTTTCTGACAACTTTAAAAAAATTCTTATCACAATCTGGAAGTGTTCCCATTATTTCAGAAGCTGAATTCCCTACAATCAAGTCAGGATTTTTTTTTTTTTTTTTTTTTTTTTTTTNATTTTTTTGATTTGAGGGCATATTGTAATTGATATCCAAATAAGATTGGCAATCCTGCATAACAGCCGGTTTGACAAATCTTACAAGAATATCCTTCAGAAACTCAAGAGGACTGACCTAAGGACATGAATTTGAGATGAGTTGGATTGCAGAAAGGTATTAAGTGTATCAAACAAATTGGCAACATTTAAAAGAAATAAGCAATAAGCTTTATTTAAATCGTTAGGGAGAAAATAAAAAAAGTCTCTTCTCGAGAAAGGATGCTGGAAGATCCTTTCTTAAAATCATATACTTCATCTACTTTCCGCTTCTTACTTGAAGACGCAGAGATACTTCTTGAAGAATTAACACACTTGGCACTATCATTTTAACATTTTTTGGGAATTTTATAGTCAGATAAGGATTAACTACTGACCTTGGACTTACAGCAATCTTTGAAGAAGCTCAATAAGTGTTGCCACTGCTCTATGAGACAAGCAAGACATTTGCCTACTGACAGCCAACGAGTGCAAGCATGCTTCAGAATTTTTTTTTACCTCTGTGTCATGCAGCTTCTGAAATTCTCTGAGTCACTCTTTACTTTTAGAACTTTTCTCAAGATAGTAATACACATCAATGAGAAGTTCATCAATCTGAAAAGGAAGCATCGTAGAGCCTTTCTCTGCTGCTAAGTTTTCCAAATGGCAACAACAGCCTAGCAGTGCAATATTTTCATTTGCTTTTTGCAATACCGATATTACACCTGCCTTTTGCCCTACCATCACAGGTGCATTGTCACAACTTAAGGCGAGGCAATTTTCAATCAGTATTTGAAGTGATTTTAAATTGCTTAAAATTAAATTCCCAATATTTACACCAGTAGAGTCTCCTATTAAGACAGGTAAAGACAATAAAATCCACTCAACTTTAGCCTCAGAAGAATTAACTTGATAATTATAAAAATTAACAACAATCGGATATAATTTCGAATCACTGTCATTGCTACCATCTATAGAAATTATAAAAGGGCTAATTTTAAGTGCTTCTATTAAGTTTTCTTCTTTTTTTGATGCGATTTCACACACAATTGCCGATGTTCTTGTCCTTCCGCATCCATAATTTTTTAGTCTGGAAACATTTTTCTGAACTGTCCAGCATGATCGGCACAACTAATTGGCAAATTATGCTCAATTATAAAGGCAGTAAACAAACTTTCAGCCCTAATCACTGCTTTATCATTATCATTCGTCACAAAAAGATCCAGCTCTTTAATATTTTCAATGGATGAAAAATTTCTCACATGTTTTGATGTGCCCACAGGGGCAACAATATCGCTACGTCCACCGTGCGCAATGCGGAAATCAGTTCGACATGGAATACAAAAAGCAAAATCATTGTCTTTACCGACTTTTGAATGAAATCAAACTTTTTTGAATTACTGTCTTTAAAATTTTGATATTAATAAGTTGTTTTCGACATTATTAAGAGTACGAAAGACCTAGAAAACCGCTTCAAATGAAAACATAACAATCCACTCAAATGCCATTAGATTAAAATGTTTACTAAAATATTTCGCGGTTGCGAGTAATTCATTACTCTTCACTGAGGTTACGTTCCAATAAAATATTTAAACATTTCGATAAATGAGTTGTTACTAGGACAAATTTTAATTCAAAATCTTGAAATTTCAAACCTAATTGTTTAAAAAATAAGTGAAAACTTGAACATAAGAATTTATATCCTTTAATGAGATAAATATGAGAAAATTATTTCAAGCCATCACACTTTCGGTCAATTAAATTTGCTTAAAAAAACATATTAAGTTAAATTAAATACAATATTTAATTTACTTTAATGTTAAGTAATACTTAAGTAATACTGAATAAAATTCTTTTGTACTTGCTAATCCAATGTAAAAAAAAATTAAAGAAAATAGATACTAAAATCCTTAACAGATTTTAAGATTGTTTATAAACCTAAAAAAAGTTTAACCAAAGATGATTAACATGCTATGTATTACTCACAAAAGCATATTATACAGTGGATAAAATTATTTGCATAACATTACAAGAATTAATAAAAAGAATTGAAACTAAAGTTTTCATTAAATTCAAACTTGGAAAGAAGGCACTTACTTGGGTGTGCCTTCATCTTGCAAGCTATTCATGCAGGATGCAGTCAATTCAAGAGCTTGGATAAATATTCCCATCACTTCTTTACTTTCGATTGCAGCAGCAACTGGCAGTTTGCTTTCCTATTCATTAAATGACAAATTAAATGATAAATTAAAAGCTGAAATTTGTTTGTTTTTTTTAATACAGTCAAACATATTAGAATAAGAAAAAATTATTAAATTTTACTGATATTCATTTTTCTTCATTATATGACCTTAAAATTTCTTAAAATTCTTTTTTGCTTTTAAATGCAATAGTTTCATGATCAATAAAAATTCATAAATTATTCAAAAATTATACTAAATTCAGTAAAATACTTCTAAGTTTAGAATAAATGTAATTATTCAAAAACTGTTATTTTCTTTCGAAGAAGTTTCCTTTGAGATCAATAAAACCAAATTTAATGGCTTATCATAACCGAATAATTTAGTTACATTGCAAAATTTTAAAAGGGGGAAATTGAAAGAGAAAAATTAAGGAAAGTGCAAATATATATCTTTTTTAAAGCTATGCCATTGTCATAAAAGTCACAAGGCTTTTAAATTTTTGAGGTCAGCAGGTCTGCTATTAAATAAGAGATTAACAAATTTTGAGAAAGACTTAAATGTATATCTTGTTTGCTCTTACACTAGCCTACTTGACTGAGACTTAAATCAATCTAATAATTATAATAACACAAGTAGTTGCATTGTCCAAGTAAAAAAAAACTTAATACAAAACAAAAAAACAGCAAGAAAGATAATGAGTATTTATTGCTAGAACTATCTTGTATTTAAGCACTGCTAAAAAGGTTTCTTCAAAAAAGAGACAACCCTATCAACATCCAGTCACTGGACAAAAACATATAATGCATATGTATTTATGTACAATTTTATTTTTGTAGGAGCTGCCGAAGAGCTAAAAAGAAAAGTAAATCGACCTTTCAAAAATGCTAAATCTGAGATTTAAACTCTTCATATAAAACTAAATTTAGTAGCACAACAGCCCGATGAAGACCAAGGCCTGTGTGCATCCAAATTTTTTTGATAGGGTGCAGAAGCAAATGTCCCGGTTGGGTGATTAGTTAAATGTAGAACCCCCAGTGTTTAGTCCCAAAGCATGCTTGGTGCTCATTTATAGACTCTTCGAAGGGATGAAAGGCTAAAAACTACTCTTACATCTCTTCAAATAATTATAATTCAATGCTATTTTACTTCCAAAAAAAAAAATTTGATACAAAAACTTACAATTATATTTTACACACTCTAATGTTTTACTAGTTTTTAAAACTTTGAGATTTTAGAAAATGTCATGTGTTTAACAAAATGAAAATTGTTAAATAAGTAATATTTTTAAATCTTGCTGCAATGAAATCATTCATTTTAAAATTTAATATACTAAAGATCGTCTTTTGAAACGTCTCTAAAATTTACAAGTCTTGAAAAATTCTCATTATAATTTTTAGTACTTACAATAGGAGATGTATGTATCATAATGAAAAGTAATAAAATATATATAGGTTTTTTTTGTATAAATTAAAAATTAGAAAAGAAACAGCTGTCCCCTTGCATCCTTCCAATCTTAAAACTACTTTTTTATTCACTGAACTATAGAATTTCTTCACACAATTTGTCTATCTTTATAACCCCTTGACATAACATAGTTTTTAGACTAAATTCCGATACTTTAAAATTGTTCAAAATATGATAAACAAAAGAATTTTTAAAAAAATTTCATGAACATTTTTCATTTTTAGAGGCAATAAGGTATTAGATCGATTGGATATTAAATAATTACCTCAAATATAAGTGTCAGCAAATGTAAACGAACTGCTAATTTTGATTCCAGAGGTATCCAAGGCAATTTTGATCCTATACCCCAGCCTTTTCTTTCTGTTGGTATTTGTTCTGTATTCAAACGCTTAGTGAGATAATACACCTTGATATGAATCTAAAAATAAGAAAAATGGAGAAATTAGTTATATATTTGATTAAAATTATAAATATCGCTGATTGCATAATAGATTTATATACACTTACTTCATTAATTAAGCGGTCAATCAAAACTCTATTTCTCCAAGCTTCACCATTTCTTTGAGCAACAGCGATCAGTAGATCACAACAACGATAGACAGTTTCTGGCAAAGCATCAGCTAATTTTAAACAGCCCTCAACAACTTTTTCAGCAAAAGTATCAATTACTTGTGAGGAAAGGGGCTCTTCTTTTTGTTGTACAAAATCTGGTTCCTTTTGTGTATCAGATTTACTTTGCTCTCCTTCAACCTGCTCAATCAAATAAAATCTCTTAATTTAAGAACAAATCACTGTACCAAAAAATTTCATTTTTTAAAAAAAATAATGATTTCATTCAAATTTATTATTTTTAAAACTTTTTCATCGATTGAACAACTAGAGACCAAAAAAATCAAAACAAGAAAATTAATTAATATAAATTTATATAAAATAGGTGTCAATGACAAGATAACTTTTTGTCAACACCGAGCTTCAACTTAAATTAAGATAACATATTGTAGTTAAGTACAATCAATGTCTATAGTATATACAATAACAAAATGCTGCAAAAAAAAGTTAGATCACCATTTTTGTAGACAACTATGTAAAATGGCCTCTGAATTTGAACAGGAATTATATTTTCTCCCCTTAATCAAGCATTTTCTAGGAACGTCTTCCAAACGTTTATCAGTTTTAGATAATTTCACAATCGTACACTTGGACAGTCTGATTCTCAATTGATGAATCGACAGTTATTATGTGTAATCAAAACACTAATATTTTTTGATGACCTTTTGAAAATTAAGAGTTAATATAATAAATTTATTAAACAACTAAATTTTTTGGAAAAAGCAAAAGATTTGAGAAAATCTAAAATTTTGCGGTGAAAAATCGGAATTTTCAAAAATAAAGCTGAACTTAGGGGAAAATATAAAAGCAGAAATCTGCTACGAAGCAGTAAAATCTCATCAAGAAAAAATTACATTTTTGGTGGAACTGTTAAACCAGAATGAAACACAAGGAAAGATACAGAAATGGTAAATCAAAGCTCTACTTCAATAAAGGATTCACACTTCAGAAATCAATATCAATAGTACAAAAAGAATAGCTCCTCTTTTTTTATTACAATAATCATTAAGTGATCATTACATATAGCAGAATTGAATTGAAAAAAGTATGTCATAACCAATATCAAATTAATGTTTAAATTTATATTTAACAGAAAGGAATATAAATCAACTTATGTCAAAAATAATATTTACTATAAAATATTAACTAGAAAATAGACTTAAAGTTAGATATTAAAATTTTTAGAGAAAAATGGGATAATACACACTTGGTTAGTAGAAACCAAAACATTTTCTCCTAAAGACATGGCAATCGCTCTAAGCATTTGATCTTCTTCAGACATTTCCCAGTCCATGCCAAGTCCCTTTATAAATAAATAAAATGTTAATGCCAGTAACGCGATAGATGAATGCTTCTAAATGAAGTGCTATAAAAAATTTGCTGTTTAAGAGGACGCAATACCACAGGAGAAACTTTTCATCGCATTCTCTTTCACCTGCTTAAGCAATTAAGAATTTATAGAGAAAAAATTATTTTAAACTAACTTAGATTAAGCCATAAAGTTTCAAATACCAAAAACAAATTTTTATTCATAATTTGTTACTCATAATTTATTTTCAAAATAAAACAAATTATGAGATGGTAACTTAGGATTATGCAATGGGAAAGTTCTCTTCCAATAATTTGTTTGCCTTTAGATATTTTGAAAAAAAATTTCAGCAATTGAAATTTCCTGGCTAATTCTAGGTTTGCCTGAACTCAGTTTTTCTATACTTTAAATTTTAAATTAGTTATGCTGATAAAATTGAATTTATGATGAAAAGTTTCTCCCAAACAAATAATTTTAAAGAAGATAAAGAGTACAACAGGAAAATGAAGTTATGATAAAAGCATTGTAGTTGAATCCCTTATTTTGGAATAATAAGTTTGGAGAAGACTTTCAGCAAAAAATTACAGAGAAACACAAATCTGGGATGTCAAGTTTCATCAACAGTGGAAATAAACCTCCTCAAAAGAAACAAGTTTCTTCCAAAATAAGTGGAAATATTGGAAGAAACTCTTTGTAAAACTAAGGCTTAATTTTATTAGTTTGAAAATTTACTGTGAATCATTTTTTCAATGATGAGCAATATTCAATATAATTTTTTTTATATAAATGTTTATTATTGAATAAAATGTTATAAATTTAGTTACAGCAAACAAAGATGGAATAAACTTAATTTTTTTTTTTTTTTTTAAATATTGGACTTTTCAAAAATATGAATAAATGAATATTAACTTTTCATATAGCTACAGTAAATATAAAGAAGTTGAAATTACCCAGGAAAATATTTGTTCGATATTTAAGATTTTCAAGTGTAAAAAGCCAATAAACATGAATTTAAAATATGGTTTTAAACATAAAGTTAATTACATATTAAAAAATCATGGATGTTAGAATTATAGTGCAGCAATAAGGAATTAACCTTTCAAATTCACAAGATATGAGATTTTTACAAATTGTAATCATATAAATACTGCGATTTTTTTTTTTTTTTCTATCAAAAGAACTTAAAAGGAACACCATATAATACTGGCTATAAGTACTGATTCATAATATTAAAAAAAATAGAGACGGTTTCAGTTTTTAAATATGAAAGTAAGAAAGATTGGAACATTAAAAATACAGATAAACTGATACCACAATAAGGTTTATGGGTGTCGAGATGATTTTGAGCCACAATGGCTCAGTGATTAATAAACTGAGCTGTGACAGGGGCTTTGTACCCAGCAAACAAAAGGCTATAAAACGGGCTATTGCGAAAGTGCTTTAATTTATATAGATTTTTTTTCACAAGCAGGAATGTTTTAATTATACTTAAAAGATAACTAAAAATTGCTCCAAGAATGGAAAGTAAAGCAGTTATTAGATGCAATTTAAAGTCTTCAGAATTTAAATTAGGCTTTGTGAGAAAAATAACGCCATTGAGGATCTTTAAAGTCAGAGGGAAACCTGCAAATTCTATTAATATTAAGATTGAAGCAATCTTAAACATTTGTAAGAAAATTAAACAGAAACAGCAAAATAAGAAACAAAACTTACTGATGGATTACTTGATGTAGTATTTCTACCCATAGCAGCAGGATATGTAAGAAGATAATCAGTAGCTTGTTCTAAGGAGTTAGTGTTCATTAAAGCTTCAGAAGCTAATCCTCGTGAAAATCCCATGTCAACAAGCTGAGTTAAATGGTCCTGGTTCACAGTGCTTTCATCACTGTCCAAGAGATGTCTGCTTCGAGTTATAACTCTTGTTGCTGAACCATTTGGAGCTGGATTTGTAGTAGTAGCTGCTGGGGTTGCAGGTACTTTAACATCTTCACCTTTAGCAAGCTTTTCCTAAGTACATTGAATAAAATAACAATTTTCAACAAATTTTTTAAATTAAATTTTACACCAGTTAGTTTATAAAAAGTATTTGAAATGAGAGATATTGAAAAATAAAAAATCCTTATTTAGTTACAAGCTTTCCTTAACATAAAACCAACCTGTAACTAATATGCAGTGCATAGGATAAAAATAATTCAGAAAACACCAGCTGATAAAAATATACCAATTGAAAGAATTAAAATTTTATAACTACATAGCACACACAAAGAAATAAAATTTCTGTTACATAAATTACTTATAAAGTTAGTACATTGAATATGAAAAAAAAATTGGTTTCAGCCAACCCTGGAAGTTCTCTAGAAAATGTATGTCGTAAGTTCAACTATTTTTATTTGAAAATTAAAAGCTCATATCCATAAAAAATGATTTACTGTAATAGCATAAAGGTTAAAATTTCAAAAATAATCAATCTTACTAGAAAATGGGATTCTTTTTCGTAACAATATTTCATTATTAGTGTTTAGTATAAAAATGTTCTAAAATAAATCATAAATAATAAAATAATTTCAAAGGAAGAAAATCCAAAAGATTCAATTTGGAACCTATTCAATTTAATAAAAAGTTAATACTATGAGCAGATATAATTCTGTTTTGTACACACATAAATGAAAAGTAAATTGCTTACTTTAAAAAAAATAATTAAAAAAAACTCTTTTGAAAGAAATAACTGTCCTCTAAAGTGATTTTATAACTAAATTTTCATCAAAAAAAAAAATTTTTAATACCCACAGGCATATAAAGTTTTGTATGGTGCAAATTGCAAATAATATTGGACAAATCAAATTAGTCAAAACAAATTGAGGAAAATTTAAAAAAATAAAATAAATAAAAAACACAAATAGTAAGCTCTTCAATAACAAAATTTATGAATTAAATAGCAAAAATTAATAAAGAAAAATGCAATAAAAAATTTCTGTAATAAAGGATATGAATTGAGAAACAAACAAAAAAGGTGTAAATATAAATAGAGTAGTATTCAGTCATAAATGAGAATGCTAAGTATTAGGCAGAACTGATGGTTTCCTGATGCAAGCATTATTCAGAATACAAGACTTACTAGCAAAAATCAAAATTTAAAAGAAAAATAGCCTTGCGAGAAATCATGAGTGACTCACATAGTTTAAAAGGGAAACCATTAGCAATCCAAGTGACAAGACATTTTATTGGTATTGACAATGGATACCCATTTTGACTCCTTTTCTTTTAAATCATGGTATTTTTTGAATTTGCTATTTAATTTAAAAAATAATCAGGTTTTCCCCAGCATCATACCTCAAATTATCAAAAATATTGATATCTTTTCAGCAAATGATTATTAATATATAGATTACTAATTGATTGATTGAATTTTTAAAGATGCTTTTAAATTAACCATGCAACTTTACAGCTAACTGAATGCAACTAATATACATATTTCTAATTGAAATATAAAACAATGTTAAATAAAAAAAAAACACAAATTATTCAGTTAAAAATTATTTAATTAATCGCAATCTGATCTGAAGCATATAATGAATTTTACTGCCAACCATACCAAATTTAACAATTTACAACAAAAAAACAACGAAGTATGTAAAAAAATTTTTAAAAAATAGTATCAGAGTTAGAATATTACAAATAATGTTCAGCTTACCTTAATTATTGTTTCGCCTTTCAAAATGTGACATATTATAGTGAGTATAGATTCAGCAATCCTTTCCCCAAAAACTAGCAACGGTTTCTTATCCCATAAGTGCATAATACTTTCAAAAGCCCTCTGAAAAAGAAGTAACATAAATACTGCTGAAACATATTTTAACACCACCACTTACAATTTGATGCTTTATTAAAATTAAGAATACAAAATAAGGAATTTAAAAAAATTACAAAGCTGTCATATCTGAATAAAAATTTATTTGTAACACTAATTAACTGAAATGACTATTTTACTAATAACTTTTCAGATTTAAAATCATAGTAGGTTGAACTCGAAATAATTTTCTAATTAACAAACTACAGGTTCCGTTCCTCAAGTGGGCAGTAGTTAGGCATTTAGGACTTCCAAGAGTAATAACATAACAAGATCCCAAACTACTGTGGATTTCCAGGAATATACATTATTCAATACTCCATTTTTAATAAATAACATAAATACTACATTTCACCTAACAACAACTTATCAAGATAAGTAGAAGTGTTCAACATTAAAAATACTTACCTTAGAAAGGGAAAACAATTGAAGAGAAAGATAGAGAATCATTTAAATAGCAAATTGTGCAATGGTCTAGAAAAGTTTGGTAACCTATGACTTAGACAATTCCAATATTTAGACATCTCTTTATCTTACGTGTGAGGATGCAAAAGATTCTTTTACTATATGGCATTCAATCACTATCATGTAATTCCACTTGAGAGTATCAAATAATGATGTATTCTTACAAATGATGTTTGTAATTTAAAATATTTTCTTAATGTGAGAGTCATCAGAAATAATTTTCTAACTTCTAAAATCTTTTTCATCAAACTTAAAATCTTCTCTATTTTCTCATCACATACAATTAATCACAATTATGTATGCTTTAAGCCTTTTGCGCCTAACGGGACATATACGTCCCAAGCAAATTTCAAAAAAATGTTTTGGGACAGAAACACTTCTCTGTCTAATGGGAGGGAGACTTTCCCACCAGTCTTCCCAATAATTTTGAAGGTATTTTCATTCACAGAACATTGATGGCACTACCGTACATAATGCAATTTCTGCATTCTTGAAGTGTTCTAGCAGCTCACTCCATGTACAAATGTAAATAGTTTAGTCTCGGAAAATACCGCCTATTTTCGATTAAATTTTGATTGATCAATAAATCTAAGGCCAGAGAAGTTACTCACGAAGCCGATTACCTATAATGAACTGGTAAGTGGCAACGTTTTACTTCTGTTTCAATTATTGGGACATATGTGTCCCTCTGGTCTTGGATAGTGGGAACAAATTGTCCCAACAGTCCTATGTGATCATTGGTTTCCTTTACAAAATTGCTAATTGAAGACTACTTGGACACATATGTCCCATTTGTCAGGACAGATGGGACATATATGTCCCGGTCCTAAATCAGTGCCTAAAATCTTCCTAACATCTTAGTTTTAGCATTCTAGTGTGCCCTACTCATAGTTTATGCTACCAAAATTGTTTCGTTGTAAATTGTTCTGTTGTAAAAAAAATTGCTGCGAAAGGGTTTAAAAAAAAAACACAGAAAAATATTTTTAAATTTTTTAACAGCTCCTAAGATCTAAAAAGGTCGGACTATTTTAGCTTAGCAAACAGACTTTAAAAAATGCATGTAGATAGATTTAATATATATATATATATATATTNGCGTTTATGTATATATATATATATATATATAATAAAATATGTAATTTATAAAGTAGCATTAATTTCCAAGCCATTTAATCAATCCTTTTTAAAGAAAAACACTGAGAAAATAAAATATAAAAATACGGAAGAAAGATAAATTTAATGAAAATCTAAGAAATTAAAACAGTAGTAATTTTCAATGTTTTACAAAAAGGTTCATAGCAGAACTTGAAATTTTTATATAGAACTTTTAAAATATAATCAAAATTATATATTGTATTACTCAGTGAAAATTACAAATGGTATGAATACTCAAAGTATGAATATCAAAGTATGAATAGTTTTTACATAATATGCTAAAAATATTTCTGAATCAACATTTCTAATACAGGTTTTACTTTTACTTACGTATTTATAAAATCCATAAGTTAAATATAATTTATAAGATAAATTGAAGAATTTTTAACAATGAACTTTTATCATAAATTGCTGTATTTTAATAATAAAATTAATGACTTAATACATATAAATATAATTACATTATATGTACCATTTTAAAAGTTTGATAAATTGATGAACAATTTCAATTCATAATAAAATTTAAGAATGTAACAGATAGGTCATAGCACAACAGATGGCGCTATCCCCTCTATCCGCAAGGGAAAAAACAATAACAATAGAGTTTCTTTTCTGGCTTCCAAGTGTGATGGTGTTACCCTCCATCCTCTTGTATCCTTCAAAACGTTGTATAAAATTTAATGCCACGAAGTGTAAAGATGATGTGTAATATGTTTTATATGTTATATATGAATATGATATGTTTCAATAATAAGTGTGATGATGTTTCTTTTCATCCTCTTGTTTCCTTACAAGAACATTTTACAGTACATTTTCAACTATAAAGTATTTTTTTGAAATAAATGAAAACTTAAGTGTTACATGTTAAAAAAAAAAATTTCGCATTTTGATAGCCTAACAGTATTCTGCTAAAGATTTCATAATATTAAAATCTAAGAGAGAAAAATAGGTTATTTGTTATTTTATTGCTCAATAAATGTTTTTAAAAATTATTAAAAACAAAATCAAAAGATACTATTAAAAACATTTATATTAAAAAAAAATTGCTGAGAAAATTTAACCAATCTAGAAAAATCTAAGCAATATAAAAAATTTTAAATAACATTTTTGAGTTAATTATTTACAAAGTCATTTTCTATAGTTTTTAGATAATTTTAACTACACACAAAAAAATACAATAAACTAAAAGTTTAAGTACACATTTATGCAGGAAAATAAGGATGAGATCAATCAAAATAAATTGTAATGAATTCCGTATAAAACTGAAATATCAGAATAGTTATCAGAAAAACTAAAATATCAGAATTATTTTTAAAAAAAATTTAAATGTAAATAACTTTTTACTTTCTTGTACTGTATCAAATTTTATTCATTTTTAATTTAAACTCTTCATTTGATAGTTGACTTTAAGCAATTAGATTGGTCATTTTCGATTTCTTCCATTTTGTCCAACTTCTAACAGTTTTCTCCTATTTCTTCCAGTGTCCTGGAAGAAATAGGTTTCTTTGGGAAGAAATCTTAACCCTGCTTTATAGGTAAAAGAATCATATCTAAGTAAATTACCTTATGCACATGAATCAAGTATAGAAGGGGATTAAAAACTGTGTTTCCTTGTTGATTAGGCTTTGAAGGTAATGTGTGGGGAGATTCCAACACATTTTTTGGATTAACCATTTTTTCCAAGAGTAGAAGCCAAGCATCCAAGAACTCTCCAGTACCATCTAGATTATTTAATATAATGAAAATATACATTTTTACAAAAGCAAATGTGTAAGCACTCTTTAAATAAAACTTTATATATTTATGAATTCACTTAAATAATACAATCAGTATTTTTTCAGCAATTAATTCCTTTATTTTTTAAATAAAACTAGGGTATGGTCAGAAAATAACATTGAACCAATTATGCACACAGTGTATAAAAAATTATATAATCCTGAATAACTTATTTTTATGATCAGATGCAGTAATTAGTGTGCATACTATTTTAATTGACCACATCAGAAACAAAAACGTAATTTCCTAGAATAAACATATGTTTTTAGAGATTACGATTTTTAACCAAAAAATATGGAGAACAGACACATTCTTGAAAATATGATCTCAATAGTTAAGTCAAGAGACCAGTCAGAAGATTAGACTCCTAAATAAAAGTGCTTGCATTCGAGGGAATATATACTTTAATGGTCCACTTGATGTCACAAGTAGATTTTGACAGCTGAATCTAAGAAAATTATTACTTAGAAAATTTTGAATAACCTTTGATGCAAATATTTAATATAAGTATTTATGTCTTAATAGTTAAGATGGAACAGAATACAAAATAACTGTCTGTGCTGCGATTCAATTCAATAACAAAAATTACAGAATAGTTTAACAAAAACATTATGAAAATAGCAACTTAATAATAACTGTAAAATATCCAACTCTGCCCAATTTTTTACAAACACTTGCTCTTAAACACATTATCTTTGCAATATTTTAATTATAAGAACTATTTAGCTTTTTAAATTGAAATCTGAATGTATGTCAGAGGTATTGTGTACTACTGTGATCAGGGATGAGATTGGTCAAAAGGCAAAAAAGCTGAATTTTCACACGAGTACATCTTACGTGATTTATAGCAAAAATATCAGTAACATATTCTCATCCAGTTTTGGCTGATGTTGTAATATAGCAATAATCGCCGATAGAAAAACTGCCACATTTATAGTAACTAATTCAAAAAAAACTTGCTTTTTACAAGAATCGCGCAATAACGGATTTTAAAATCGTGTGAATATAAATCACGTTATTGAAATAAGTGAATGAAACTCGATATTAAATTTCAAAAATGTGAAAATACAAATCATTATGCGTAACTTTCAGATCGCGTAAATACGAATTACGATACATAATTTCTAAATGGCGTTAAAACGTATCCAAAGCCTAATTTTTAAATCAAGTGTAAATACGAAAATAGAAGTTGGATATTACAACTGCAAAAACGAATCACGACATTGGATAAACTCGCATGAATACGAAATCGTTACATAGAATTTTAAAAACGTCTGTATACAAATCGCGATATTGGATTTTTAAATCTCGTAAAGAAGAATTGCAATGAACGATATTGAAATCGCGAGAATAGGAATCGCAACGCGCAACTTTTAAATCAGGTAAATACGAAAATCGATGTTTGATATTAAAATGCAGCGACGTCTGAATTACGAAAATACGAGCTATCTAGCGGACGGGTAAAAATGAGGAAAATCTTACTTTCTGCTTCTAGAAGCTAATAACTAAATTAAGTAGATATGCGAAAGGGTTGGCAGCTACGAAGTTTGAATTTTCCATACATCTTTCGATATATGATATCTATATATCAAATCGGAGGAAATAAACATAATTATATTATTTCAATGGCTGAATTTTCAGAAAAAAACCGGAATATTAATTTTAAAAAACTGAAACTTTTAGAGAATCTGAGTTTTTAATAAAAAGTCTGAAATTCGAGAGACAAAAGCGAAAAAGGCGGAAATCCGCTAAAAAGCGGATAAATCTCATCCCTGTGTGATTAATCAGAAATCATTTTTAAATAAAGCAAATACCAGTCAAATTTATCTATTTGTACCAGTTGTCTTACAAAAACATAAAAAGTTTAAATGTTTTAATTGCTTTGGAAAGTTCATAATTTTAAAAATTTCACATGATTTCAGTTTGCTAAACAAAATATGCCACTTTACACTGACAGTATAATCCCAAGACTCAAAAGCATAAATAACAAATTTTATTCTCATATTCTTCCAATACACCCAACAACAAAAACAGAATAAATGTGTGCAATTAATTATTTACAAATTGATTTTCTTAAACAGATATTTGATAAGAAATGGCTAAAAAAGAAAATCACTTAAAAAAATTTAATCAATTTTTAAAAAGAACATTTCAAAACACAAAGCTTTCAAAATAGAAGGGGGACTAATTAGTTTCATAATAAAACATACCAGGTAATTCTGGATGTTCTAAACCTTCTTCAATAGGAACTCTATTTCCACAAGTCAAAGCCCAGCGAAAAGTTCTGAAAGATATGAAATCAATTCATGAGATACTAAGCAAATTTCAGATATTTAATTTAAAACACATAAATGAAAAACGTGCTTACGCAAAAAACGCATCCAATCCTCCACAGCTCAAAAATTTTTGAAGCATCAAGTGATAGGGATATTTTCTTTCATCAAAGAGCATTGGAGATGTGAATCCCACAGAACAAATATAAAATGTCAACCTGTAAAAATATAGTTTAATAAACAAAAAAATAAAACAATATTTTATTATCGATGTCAATAGTTTAGTTAATAGAACAACCTAAATTTTGGTACTGGAGAAGCTGGTGGTGGTTCCCAAGATAATCCCATGGCTAATAGGCGGGTCAAAGCAGTTGCTACAGCACGAGCTGCTGGTGAAGGCACACTTGGTGATGGTGGTATTTGTTGGCCTCTTCTTTGTCGCATAGGAGATCCAACACAAAGCTTAAAAATTTTAAAATAAAATTATTAACAATTACAAAATAAAGAATCAGCAACTTAAGTATTTAAAAAGAGAGAAACACAATGAAATTTATATTGGAAGATTAAAGTTAAGCACTTTCAAAACATAACACGAACTAAATTATCTTCCTGTTAAATTCATTTGAAACAGGGTAACAAAAATAAATGTTAGGAAAACTTATGCAATTTGGTAAATTTATAATAGCTTCTTACCAAAAACACACAGAATCACAAGGATTAAATTTGATATTAAGCGATACAAAAATGACTCACTTCAAAACAATTTAAAATTAGGGAAGCTTTTTGCTGTGTGAAACTATAAATTAAAACATTTTTTATGTTTTGTTTATGTTACAAAACATATACAAATAAACAAAAAACATATACAAATAAAAATTCGAAATATTGAAACTTTATTCATTTTACAATAAAAAATAGAGTTAAAAAAAACAATCACTTTGTCAGATTACATTTAAATAAGATGACATTCGGTAAAATATCTGAAAAAATTGTCAAAAAAAGGACAATTATACTCAGTGGAATTTAATTAATATTACTTATTTAATTCTTATGTCAAATTTTTCTTAAGCACAATGAAACCTCAGCCGGTCACGACAAGTATTAAACCATTATTATAACTAGCTAAATTCTGAAGAAGAAAAATGAACTTGTGTCTTCAAATTAAGCAAATTTTTTTTTCTCTGAATGATGAAATGATTGATGAATGATTTTTTTTCCTGGCTCATGAAAATGCTAGGAAAAAATAACAGGTTCAATATTTAACCCTTTTTAGGGCAGGTTTGCCAGTCTGGCAACACTTATTGCAAAAATATTCCGAACCACTAAAAATATAACACTATTTTCTACTAAAGGTTCACCGTTTCGAGCAACAATTATTTAGTAAATAACATAGTTCAGGTATATCTGTTTACTAGGAATTTATGATCAATGGTTGTAGGGGCTAATATGCTGCCTGCTAAAAATTTTCAGTCAAAATTAATTGTGTCAGAAAGAGCTAACGAAAGAAATAAAATAATAAACTGAAGAGTAAACTTACTTTCACCAAAAGACCAAACAGCTCAGCTAAAGCTCTTCCTAGCCGTGATGCACCTGACAGGAGGGGCTTAATTTGTTTTATCTGTGAAGCATAAGGTTTAGTTTTCATTTTATCAGAACTGGTAGTTTCATTTCCAGTTTCTTCACAGAAACAAATATCTTCTAAATCCATTGTAATGGGAATTTCAGGAGAATCATTTAGCGTTTCAGCTACTGCACTTGGGATGATTTCTGAAGATGAAGGACTATCCTCCTTATCGCTCTAAAATTGTAAAAAACATTCAAACATGAGGTATTTTTCAATTAATTTATTCTGTTTATTTTCTGTATATAAATGTAGCTGTAATAAAAGTATAGCATACAATGATATAATACTATAACATAATTTATAAATATGATCTTAATTAATCAGTATTGGCTCATAATTGAAAATCTTATAAATTTGACAGTTCTTAACGGTGAGAAGATTTACCTCACCTGGTTATGTGAAAATAATTACAATTTAAAAGATACCTTAACCTCCCCAAACATTTTATAGCCACGGACCGATCAATGTTTGATAATTTTTCTGCAGCCCACAGGGTGAGAGGCGAACATTGATAGTTTGTATATTAGAAGTTTTTGATTCAATAATTTTAATGCAATATTTATATAATTCTTCAAAGCAAAATACAGTTACAATTATGGTATTGGTGATGTCTCCCAGTTAACCTCCTCTTAATAGAAAGTCGCACAAACACCACAGTAAAAAAAATTAAAATTATTTAATGTTTCTTGGATGGCCTAGTACCATTTGACTTACGGACTGGTTCGCAGCTCGGTGGTTAGGAACGATTGCTTTTCATCATATCACTTGTCCAATGGCTTGTCACTTACTGATATACATATCATCTAAAAATTCTTAATAATATTAGCTTATAAATTCTTATCAGTTATAAATAACAAACCACTATATCTGCAAATAAATAAACATGGGTTGATACCAGAATTTCCCCATGGCTTTTACCAGTAAAAACCTAGTTTCTACCATGACCAGGTAGAAAATGGTTTCTCCCTGGTAAAAACTCAATCCTGAACGTGTCCACAGTATAATAATTTTTTTCATTACTAGGTCTATTTAGCATTGTTTTGATTTTAAACATTATTTTAATGAAAGATTAAGTTTTCCTTCATCAGATTCAAGAAAAATTTCATCTCCTTAAAAATAAAGTTTTAGAAAGATCTCACATACATTGTTTCCATAAACTCAAAAAGTGACAACAATTTAAACTTCTGATTTATAATGCAAATATTAAACAAAAAGTAATAATTATAAGTATTAATTTCAAAACTCAATTTGATTGAGTACTTTTTCTTTTTTTAAAAAACAGGGATGAGATTAGCCAAAACGCAAAAAAGCTGAATTTCCACGATAGTAAATTTTACGCAAGCGCAACTCTTTAATAATGAATTCCAGACAGTTTAAGGTAATAAATAATGTGTTGACATACAATTGTGTACTAATCTATTATTATAAAAACGATTACATTGATACTTAACATTTAGTGAAAAAAAAATTACCAATTGAAAAAATAAAGCTGGAAATTATATTTTTCCTCAGTTCACATAAGAGACAATTATTACTTGAAAAACTACCTGGTTTAGCAAATTAAAACTACTGAGAATATACATTAATATTTCATTTCTTTTAATAAATACTGTTATGTGATTTATAGCAAATATATCAGTAATATTACTTTTTAAATTATATTGGGAAAAAAAACTTTAACAATGGACCGAATCATTATGTTCATATTATAGTCTAATCTAACTAGAGCCCTCTGAAACATATCAATAACAGTGAAGTAGAAATATATAGTAACTCCTTAACATACAAAAATTGCTATTTTAGTTTGAAAAATTACACGACAATCAGCATTTGCTTAGATAATTGTTTCTTATTTGATAAGAATTTTGCATTTTAAAGCATAAATAACAGCAATTATAAATAAAATTTTGATGCTGAGTTAATTATTTCTTTCCCCAAAAAAAAATTTTTAATTAAATCCCTTTTTAAGTGATTGCTTTTGTTTGCATTATCTTTTATGTTTGCTATATTTAGTCATTAGTCCATCTTCAAACATCTTGTGACAAATCCTACTTTTTCCTCTTTCCAAGAACAGAATGTAAGTTTTGAATATATTCCCTTCCAGTTTCTCTGATGTTTTAACACTTACATATACTAATAATCGACGTTGGAAAAACAATCACCTTTATAGTAACTAATTAAAAAAAGTTTTACTTCTTACAAGAATCGCGATAGTTGATCTTAAAATTGCGTGAATATGAATAAAATCACATGAATATGAAACTAGATATACGATTTTGAAAATGAGAAAATAAAAACTAGGATATAGAATTTTTAAAACGCGTAAATACAAATCACAAATCATAATTTTTAGATCGCGTAAATATGAATCATGATGCGTAATTTTTAGATTGCATAAATAAGAATTATGATGCATAACTTTTAGAATGCGTGAATGCGAATTCCAATGCCTTATTTTAAAATCACGTATAAATAAGAAAATCAATGTTTGATATTATAAACCACATGAGCAAATCAACACATTGAACTTTAAACTTGCGTGAATACGAATCGCTACATAGGTTTTTAAAAAGACGTAAATACAAATCACAATATCGGATTTTTAAATATGAATTCAACATAAATATTCTCATAATGAATTCAACATAATATATTCTCGTAAATAAGAATTCAACATACAATATTCAAATCGCGTGAATACGAATCGCAACATGCAAATATGAAAAGCTATGTTTGATATTAAAATTGTGTGAATAAGAATCGAGATATTAGCAGATTCCAGGCTTGGGACCTCTAAAAGGCTTGTCAGAAGCAGTGTCGTTTGAACTACGAAAATCGGATCTATCTGAAGGGCCGGTAAAAAATTCGGAAAATCTTATCCGCTGCGTGTAAAAGGGGAGAAAATAGGTAAAATAAGTAAAAATGAGAAAGGATTGGTAGCTATGTAGCTTGAATTTTCTGAAAAAGCGGAATACTTATTAAAAAAAATGAAATGTTTAGAAAATCTGAATTTTTGATAAAAAAGCTGAAATTTAAGAGATAAAAGTGAAAAAAGAGGAAATCCGCTAAAAAGCGGAAAAATCTCATCCCTGTAAAAAGTACAAGAAAAACATAGCATATACAATCTTTATGGTTGTAAGTTTCAGATTGTAGATAGAATTATATTTATTAAAAAAAAGTTTTGAGAATAGACATTTTTAAAATGTAGTTTAAATGTTAAAAGAGAATTCAATTTTGGAAAGGAGCAATAAGTTCTGCATTTGTTTTTAAAAAGTTTGAATATTATCAAAATAATTTCTCTTCAGTTTTTCATTTCACTTCAATGTGCAGCTGATGTATTTTATTTTATAAACAATTGGTTAGAAATGAAAATTTATAAAGCAATTTCGAAAACTTATAATAGTTATTAAAAAAAATTTATGTCACAGGAAAGTATGAAATAAGAAAACAGTTTAAAATGTAACTCACTTTTGAATCTTTGGGTACCAGTTTTTCTAATTGTTGCCTACCAAATTGGCAGTCTTCAGCAAGAGCAGTATCATTGCTGCATAAAGCAAGTAATACAGTACTTTCCCAGACTAAAGATGTATACAATGAGCTAAGACCTTTTAAAACACTAAGACCTAATTCAGAGCCCCAATGGCTAATTGATATGGTTCGAATATCACTCTAGAAAAATATAAGAAAAAAAATTAACAAATTTAAAAAAATCTAATGAGAGTATCACAAATGCACAAAAAAATACAAATCAAAACTAATTTTATATAACATATACAAGGGATGCAAATAAGAAATTTTTATTTCAGAAAATACGACTTAAAAAAAAAATCAAACTAAATGAGCCAGCAGGACTCCTAAATATGTCCAAAAGGAGAAAAAGAGAAATTGTGTCTGAAAAATAAAAGATTTTTCGAAAAGTATTTAATTTTTATCACAATATTAACTCACTTTTAGAAAACTAAAGGCCTACACCCTTTACTTAATTTGAATGTTATATTTTAAACCAAATTTTTTAATCTCATGGAGAAGAGGAATTTCGCCAAACACAAAAAATACCAAAGAATTAGACATACGATTGAAGAAACACTAACAATATTTTTAAAAAAAAACTATGTTAGTTTCATGAATACCCACCAACATAGCACTCTCTAATTAAAATAATCCAAAAGTTTTGTATAAATGGGAGCAGACTGTTTTACCATGCTTTTATGATGAAGGAACAGGAAATGAATTTTTTATTAGCCTTTCGGATAAATAGAAAATGACACTTTTAGGATAAAGCTGAAAAACATACTTTAAAATTTAATATGGTATACTCTCGATATCTCGAATCTCAATATCTCGAAAACCTGTTATGTCAAAAAAAAAATTTCCCCTTTAGCATTATATATTTACCTAATCTGAATTTGAATTACTGTGTCAAAGAGTTTCTTCCCAAAACCTTGTTATGTCGAATTTTTTTTCAAAATAGAAAATTAATTTTTTCTAAAAAAACACAATGTAAGCTTATTGTAAACCAATTTTATGCAAAATTATTTATTGATAAAATGACTACATTGATAACATTTTCACATCAGAAAATTCCTTAAACATTTTTTAAAAATGTGCTAAATTCAATATCTTTCCCTCATTCTGTGTGTGTATATATATATA